CGAAAGTAAAAGATAGCGTTATTGTTACGAACACGACCCTATCTGTATTGAGGAATTGCGGGCAGTATCTTCAGATCAGTCGATATTTACCGCAAATTTCACTAGAAGTGATAATGTTGATGAATCAACTCTTCGATTACTATTTCTATGCCGTTCATTTATTTTTTACAGCGGATTTAGATGTAGCGTCCACGACGTTATACAGCACAAAGCTAAGTGCTGCTCTAAAACGTATTTCAAATAATATTAATTCGTCCGGGGAAGAAGATGCGAAAAATTTTGTATGCCCAGATTTGCCACAACATTTGGATATGTCATCTGAGGCGAATTTGCATGGACTGAGCGAGAGAATAGTTGCTGTGGAAAGTGCTATATTTCTAGCGAAGCAGTTCGAGCTGCTCCAACCGTATTTAGAGACGATCGTCGCGCAGCACCAGAAGATGATTCTAGAGCACTTCAAGGACAATACTTTAGCAGTGGCTGTCGATTTGCGAATGCCGGTGTACATGTGTTCCGCGTCAAAAGCTGTTGATGCTAGATCAGCGTTGATAGCTATGTCACAAGTTAGATGGGACGTTAAGAACGTCGCCGTGGAAAACAGCCCCTACGTTGACATGATTATCAGAAAGATCCAAGTGTTCGCACTTCGTCTGGAAAACATTGCATCAAAAGTCTCGTTAAATTTGGAAGTGTCAAATTCTATATGGTCAATGGTTTCGAAATTCATTGTTCATTTGCTTGTTGAAGGGTTTTCGAACGCAACGAAGTGTTCTAACGGTGGTCGAGGACTGATGCAGCTAGATTACAGACAACTTTTTGTTAAACTGGAGAAGATTTCGGGACTTAAACCAATTCCATACCAAGACTATGTGGATAGATATGTGAAAGCATACTATCTTCCGAGAAATGAACTCGAAGAGTTCGTTTTAGAAAGAACTGAATATTCGAATAAGCATTTACTAGCATTAGTTGCATGTGCGTGTGAAAATAAAAGAGATAGACAAGCACTGACCGCTATTATTGAAAGTAGAGAATCTTTGGCTTAGTATTATTTTATTATTTTTATGATCTTTCTAAATGTTTAAACATATTGATCGAGATAACATTACCTACCGTTATAATACTCACCGGCACGGAAACTTGGCCACTCGTGAATTTGCTGATTATTTGCACTGAAACGTTTTTTTAACAGTAAATTAAGGGTAGATGCATTCAATAAGTGTCTCTAATGGTTTTAGAACATAGAAATTTAATGTTTACTTCACCGAAATTTTTCTTTTCAAGATAACATGTTTTCACTAAAATTAACATCTTTCCATTGTCACTTTAAAAACACTACAAAGTTAAAAATTAAGTCTGTTTCTTTATTGTCTATCAGTTTTAATATCGGGTGTTTCCTCCTCTAGCCCTGATAACCGCTTGCATTCGATCTGGCATGCTTTGAATGATGTTTCTGACATCAACTTGCGGTATGCTGTCCCAAGCGGCCAGCACTGCATTTCGGAACTCATTTAGAGTTTGTGGCGGTTTGGAGCTGGACTTTATCTTTCTTTTGAGCATACCCCATACATGCTGAATTGGATTTAAGTCCGGGCTACGAGCTGGCCACTGTAATTTTTGTATTCCAACCTCTTCCAGATATTCCTCTACACAATGTGCGACGTGCGGGCGTGCATTATCGTGCATGAGGAGGAATTGGTCGTGTCCAATGAATCCCGAATAAGGCATTACGTGCTCCTGAAGAACTTCCTCGATGTATCGAGTAGCTGTAAGCCGATTATCGACGATGACCAACTCTGTACGTGCGTCGGAACTTACACCTCCCCATACCATTATTGAGCCTCCATGGAAACTCACAGTTTGGGTGGTGGTAATGGGTAGGTAATGGTAATGGGTAGAAAAAGAAGAGAAAAAGAAAACCTCTCTCCTCTTTTTCTCCACACTCGTTCTCGACCGTCTGGAGCACATAAAGCTATTCGACACTCATCTGTGAACAACACTCTAGCCCATTGCTCGTGGGTCCAATTGACATGTTCTCTTGCGAACTGAAGTCGGGCTACTCGGTGCTGTCTGAGAAGTTCTGGACCTCGTGCTGGTCTACGAGCTTTTAAATTCACTTCCTCCATTCGTCTTCTCACCGTACGCTCACTAACATTAACGCCTCTTGCGATTTGGAGCCGCTGGCGTATCTCAACAGCGGTCAGGTAGCGGTTTCTCAAAATCTCCATAACAATAAAACGATCGTCCCGGGCCGATGTGCACCTTACGCCCCCACTGCCTGGCCTGCGGGTGTAGCGGCCTGTCTCCTGGTATCGTTTCAGTGAATACTGCATTGAGGACCGTGGTACGTTAAGCACAATAGCAACTTCACGCTGTGTCAGCCCTTGGTCAATTAATGCTACTGCTTGTGCAACTTGTGCTGGTGTTAATGGCATTTTTATTGGTTTTAAAGCACCTTTAGTTATTGAATTAAGACACAAGATCACAATAATTGAATAACCTTACAGTAAACTTTCACAACACACAAATTTAAAATGTGAACTTAGTCGCTCAAATGACCAGATTCAACTAAAAATTAAAGAATTCGTCATGGTGCACTTACACATAATGAATTACCCTCTTGAACTTGAGGGTAAACATTTTTTGACATACTTGTATAACAAACATTCATCAGAAACACTTAAAGCTTTTGCTATCGCGAGATAACCGCGTGGCCAAGTTTCCGTGCCGGTGAGTGTATATAAGGAAAATAAATTCCCGCCAATCCGCCATCAAACGTGTCAGAAAGATTGAAAAACAACAAAACAAAGGCAAAAATGTCAAACGTATTTACTCATAAGGCCAATTAACACTTTGCAATATTATTACGAACAAATGTCATAATTTTTGTATGATCTCAATATAATTTATGCAGTTGTTTTTGTAAAGTTTTTCCGCAAAGTGGAATTCTTATGAAAATTTATTCTGTTTTTTTTTTTTTAAATCAATGCACAAAATATCTGTCATAAGCGAAAAAATGTCATTGTCACAAAATGATATTTAAAAAGTATAAAATATAATAATCGCGTCTCGAACCTTCAGACAAATACATGCTTAATAGCACGTTCTTTAGTTATGTTCTATAGCAAATAAGTCGTTTAAGTCTCTGTGATAAAAAAATGTACCATAGCTTGATGCAAATGTTGCAACTATGATAAGTGAAGCATATGATCATTGAAAACAAATATAGTTTCTTATCCTGTATAAGTAATTTGAATCTGAATAAAAATAAAATACATTTCCACACATCCAACCTTTAATTAGTAAAAGTTGTACGCGCTGAATTGGTTGCGAGTTTAGATTGTGGTAATTGACTTACTAAAGTAATACTTGCTCTTTCTTTTATGTGATTCAATTGTCTGGTAATCATTATTTTGCCTCGTCTGATAATTAGAATCTTGTGTAGTCTGTTCGCTTAGATATGGTCGCCGTTGGTCGTACACCCGCAGGAGAGTTTGACATTTTAAAACGAAGCGCCGTAGTCAAAGGCTTATTGTTACCTAACTTATGTTTATTATTTAAATAATATTTGTTTTTTCATTATAATAAGCAATAAAATAGTATTCTATTTTATTCTTAAAATGAAAAAAAAAACGTTTATTTAACAAAGACAATAAAAAATAATAAAAATGTGCGTCTCCGGGTGTACCGACACTATCACAGTGAACAGACTATAAGTTGTTTATAGATCGTCCAACCTTCTTTAAACTCTCGGGCGAACAACGCAATCAGCGGTAAATCGAAGTGTAACCCAGTTCACTTGCTCTGTTTTATTTTAATGATTTGTATATACAATCAGCACTCGGCATTTTTGTATTAGTAAGGTCATTTTTATTTGGCGTCGACTTTACTGAGATTCGGTTTATGATTCGAACGAATTTGCACAGGTACAGTTCGACAGTTGGACGATCGTATAGTACCAGTATTATTATTGTTGTTTACTAAAACATATTTGCAGTCATTTTGTATAGTATATATGTATCAATCGTTTAAAACATCATTGATTAACACAAAACACACTATTAAAACAGGCGCGTTCAATGCATCTCGAATTAAAATGTTAAATCAAACACTTGAGTCTCTTATTTATAATTTTTAATTTGTACAGGAAAATAAAAATAAATGTAATCTCAAATGTAAAGACTTTAGGTTAAGTATATTTTATTTAAATAATTTATACATTATGTTAGTAGATAGTCGAATAAATATATTGGACATGAAGTTTGTTTTATTTACAAGGTCTACAGCTCTCCACATGTAGATAATGGCGGTGATTATGCTATACTCGTGATATTAAAAAGTAAGGTGGGTGTACCATGGAAGGACACTCTAACAAATAAACAGTTAGTATTCGTTTATTTACTGGATAAATGAAACTAACAAATATTTAAGTAATACTTTGTTTTATTACGTAACATATAAACCACTTTTTAAAATTACAGTATTAATCAACATTTATTGAACCTAAGTTTCATAGTATATAATTTCAGAACTCTTCCAAATGGCCTTGTAAGGAACAAGGGTTCTTAGAAGGCCATTATATAAAAACCAGTCATTTAACACTAAAGTTTAGCGAATAGCGATTAAATCTACAATAAAAAGAAGTGTTTTATGTGTTACGTAATAAAACAAAGTATTACATAAATATTTTTTAGTTTCATTTATCCAGTAAATAAACGAATACTAACTGTTTCTTTGTTAGAGTGGCCTTCCATGGTACACCCACCTTATTTTAACGTCGTCGATTCCCGAAATCAATGAAGCGAGGGACCGTAATGCCAAAATAGTAGCGCGAGCGATTCGCCGCCGCGTCTGTGATTTTCAGTTCGATAGTTGTCTGTGTAAGTAGAAGCAATTTGTTGTCACATGGCAATAACTACGACATTTTTATAATTGGCCTTCGAAGGAGCATGGCCTTCCATGGTCCACCCACCTTATATCGTCTATGCTTTTTAATATCACTAGTAAAATAACTCTTTCACATCAAATTTGGGTAAGTAATCAATATATTTTGTAAACTCTTCATAGTTACAACAGAAACTGTGCGTGCCGTCGTTGGACCGCCATCTTAGCCACGAGTACTTCCTGTTTCCGTCACAGACGTCGCTGCAGAACGTTAGCTTTTCGATAATAGTGCTATTGTAGTACGAGGAATTGATCGATATGAAAGCCGTCGCTCTTTTCTTATACGGGTCGTAAACTAACTGTAAAAAAATGGAGTTATATACTTATATCAATATATCTATCTTTATATTCTGACCGTGACCGTATGTCTAGCTTTACAAGACCACTAGTCCTCTGGGGTGACCAAGTGACAACGCAATCTGCACATCGATACTTCGAAGATAAATGTAGATGTCTATGGGCCACAATATCAACTTACCATCAGGTAGAATGTGTGCTCGTTTAGTCACCCTTAATCTATAAGAATAAAATCTAGCCAGATACAAATAATTTCTTAAAGTATTGGTAGATTAGTGCCCGTCGTCTCTCGGTGATGTTTATGCTGCTAGTTAGGTAGCCTTTTACAATGCATTGGACTCGGGGCTATAAGATATCTAAGCATATTCATTCATCAAATAGTTAGACATACCCTACAGATTACCTTATATCGTAAAAATTTAAATAAAAGTAACTTCCATATCCGTCAATAGATGAGTAGGTGAGAGTTGGGGCTTCTGCATCACTTGATCTCGCTTCGCTCGAGCTACATGCCGCTGAGGGCCCCAATTCTCTCCATTAGAGGTCTAAATTTTTAGTCTAATTCTCGATCCGCTATTTTTTATCTTTGCTTCATTTCTAATACCGTTTCATTCGGAATCTCAAATATAAATGGTTCAATAATATAACAACAAAATATGAAGGCTAATCTATTTCATCGTTAAAAATGTAAGGTGGTACAAAAAAAATAGTTTCAGACCGCTAACGATTAGTACTTATTATAAAAATTTCCGAATGGAACGGTATTAGAAATGGAGCAAAGATAAAAAAAGCGGATCGAGAATTAGACTAAAAATTTAGACCTCTAATGGAGAGAATTGGGGCCTTCAGCGGCATGTAGCTCGAGCGAAGCGAGATCAAGTGACGCAGAAGCCCCAATTCTAACCTACTTAGGTGGCAGCACTGTAACTGCAACGGTATCGTTCTTTTAGATAATATGGAGCGTATTACATAAGCCAGCGCTTTCGCGTGTGAGAGGGTGTTTTCTTGATTTGATTTGAGAAGGGATATTTGGTAGTTACTAGTGTTGGCAACCGTACTTTTTATTCTTATTGTGTTGGTATAAGGAAAATATTGCAATCCGTCTCCTTTTGCAAATTCCCTCTGTCGTCTCCTACGATACTCGAGGGATGATATAATACTAGCTGTCCCCGCGACTTCACGTGTAATTTAGGGATTAAATTTTTTGCGTGGTACCCTAATTGTTTTTCTAAAATTAAGTTACTCCTAACATCAGCTATCTGCCAGTGAAAGTCCCGTTAAAATCAGTCCAATCGTTTCGGAGATTAGCCGGAACAAACAGATAAAAATTTTAAAAATTATGTTTTTGTTATAAGTACCGTATATACTTTTATATGTATTATTTATTTAAAAAAAGCTGTTATTTTGACATTACAAACAGAGACTTTAATTTTATTTATTTGTATAGATACAAACAAAATAACAACCTTGTGTTTCCCGTAAAGTGCGTTATCAGAATTTATAGGAAAGGAGAATATTAGAATGTAGAAATAACTTTACTTCACAAAACTTGACCATAAAAAATTAAATGAAATTTAAATAAATTTTTATTTGAAAATTATTAACTCTGCGCTGGCTGGAGAGTAAGAGTATTGCCAAAGACTCCACCCTACCGATGCAGGTATCAGTTAGAGGTTATAAAACCACACGCAAATTACAAATACAATGTTTTTTAAAAAAAATATGGTCGTGTTTTCTGAACTAAAGTACATTTTTTGCGCACGAAGCAAATAAGGGCAACCCTCCGGTAAGGGGACAGGGAGGTGGTGAATGCTCATAGCATACCACGCAGCCGGCAGCTTGGTTATGTGGAGACTTTTAACCATAGAATACTATAAATACACACATAATAAAACGGGGGAGTGGGCGGAGCCCGTGTAGCCACTAAAGTGTCACTAACATGTCAATTCACACATATAACTGTCAACACGAGATGTATTTTGGCGTTACAATCGTTTCCAAATTTCGCATGCAAATTATTTAGAAAATGCCAAATTGCACACTATTTACAAATAAATATATATTAAAATTTAAGCGATTCTTTAAATGATGATCTTGAACATTAATCAAAAGTCTAAAATGTTTAAATTTACATAGCACAACACAGCGACTCGGGTTTGTAGTATCGATAATACGACGTAATTGCTTACGAGTATATGTGTGCTCGTGGCGACGCCGACTCTTGTACAAAATAAGGTTGACAGCCATTCTATTGTGTATTATAGTATTCTATGTTTTTACCCACTAAACACCACCTGTTGGGATTGGCTTAATGATCTAGCGAGAGATCTTTAAGCCGTAAACGGACGCGACCCTCCTAGGGTGAAAAGAGGGCGCAAGCGGCGAGTAGCCGCTTAGAAATTAAAGTACTATATAGTGTAGGTTTAAATACTGATTATGACAACGCACTTAACGGAAGCCACAGGGTTATTGTTACATTCTATTTGTTGATTTGGTATCCAGAAAGAAAAATCATATAATCTGGACCCGATGGGTGGCGCAGCGGTAAATAAGTGCACTATCTACACTGTAAAATGTCGCTCGAGCTCGTGGTACCTACCGCTAAAGGAAGAATAACGTTTGCTAATCCATAAGTAGTGTTAGAAGGTCTAAAAATCTTGTAGGTACCTTATAAAAATAAAGTGGCACAGGAATCACGCCGTTGTTGTTTTCATCGATGTTCAAGAACAACTGCTTCTGTATTCCCTGATTGTCAGCCAGCGTGCAGACTCCGTGAGTGCCGGTGATCACTTTCACACTAGTGCCGTATTTTGAGATGCGGCGACGGAGTGCCTAAACGAAGAAACAGAATTATTTTATATTTTATGCCGCAATAGTGGTTGAAACCCATCGTCATCCGTCATCATCATCTTATTTGTAGGTTTCACTTCTACCGCGTGTGAACTGTAAACATTTTTTTTAATATACCAGTAGTGCGCAGAAGCATAAAACTTGGAATATCTCGATGACATCGTCGAACGAAAACGATGGTATGATAATGCATTCACATACTATACTAAAATACTCAGTATGGTAACGGAGAGGAGCGTCAAAGATGGGAAACGTCTGGTATCTATCGGACTATTATGGGCTGATGATGAAGGAAAAGAAAAATATAACACGTTAAAAGAAACTAATGGGTACGGATTTGTCGTGTTTATATTTAATTTATATACCTCCATGAGCCCGTGACTATGGGCACAGATTATTTTTTTATAGAAGGGGGGAGGGGGCAAACGAGCATTCGGTTCACCTGATGTTAAATGACTACCGCTGTCCAAGAACAACCGCAACACCAGGGGAATTGCAGGTGCGTTGCCGGCCCTTTACAAAGGAGTAAGCTCTTTTCTTGAAGGTCCTCAGGTCGTATCGGTCCGGAAAAATCGCCGGTGGTAAACTATTCCACAGAGAGGTCGTACGCGGAAGAAAACTCCTCAGACCTCCGTACAGTGGTGGACCGCCAAGCATCCAGATGGTGTGGATGGTATCGGGAGGTTTGCCGCGTAGTGCGTTCATGAAATTTGGCGGCTGGGATTAATCCGAACAATTCCTCGGAAATATAATGTTACTACGTAACAAAGGGTAAAACACTCGAAACATCGGGTATTAAAATAGTTTGGAAAATGTCCAACCTCTCTGCTTTCCGGAAAATCCCAAAAATTAATCAATTTCAAAGGGATTAATCCTTATACATGTACCAATAAATTATATATTGACTAGCAAGCACTCCTTAACTCTAAAGCGAGCGCCTTTTTAGCGATACTCGTGTCGTCGCGCCATAAGTGAAACTTACCGAAGCCTAAATCGCGCTATCATAGTTCCGAAGTACTGCGATATACACAGAGTAGCTTTGTACACGGAGCTTCGACCGCTCCGCAGGTTACACATCATGTTCTTGCCCGTCGAGACCACTATTATGGTTTATACGAGCAAACAACGTTTGGATTAATCGTGGAAGCTCTAATGAATAAAACAATAAGGTTAATAAACGGGCAGCTCATGAACTGAATGATGCAGAACCTGACAGAACTGAACTGAACAGAATGACCACAGAGACGTTGATAAAATTAGCAGAACTAAAGCTAGAGAATACCATATTTATCTTGTGACGGCGCTATCGTCACTTCACAAGCGAAACACTTCGAAGCCAAAATCGCACTATCAAAGTTTCAAAGTAAGACAGCATAATATAGGGATCTAACGATTCCAATACCGATATCGATATATCGGCCGATATAATCAGCAGACCGATATATCGGCATCGCCGATTATATACAACCGATATCAAGTTTGCAAAGCTCGCGAAACGAACAACGCACGCGCGACGTCTTGCTTAGCTGAAGTGCCTCAGTGTCTGTTTTCAACTGCAGGTCTCATACAAAATACTTTACCACTTTGTGTAATGAAAATCACTTTCTTAATTAGCGCTTTGATTGCTTGATTTCTTCATTATTTCATATAAATAAATGTTTCCTTGAATTTATAAATAGAAATTTTGATATGACATTTTTACTTCTTAAGGTTCAGTCTCTGATAAATATAGGTAACTTTTATGCATAATAAAGAAAATTATTCATTATTTATTTGTTTTTTTTCTATTTCTACTAAGCCACCGATAAAGTTATCGGTATCGGTATCGCTGATTATTTACCACAATAATCGGTATCGTTATCGTATCGGCACAATTATTCGTTACATCCCTAGTATAATAAATAGAATAGCTCCGAATTATCACACGGAGCATTGGCCGCTCCCCGGGCTGAATACATTGCCGCCCGGCGTGGCGGGAGATTTCCCCTTTTCCTCCCACGGCCATAACTAGTCACCAAACTAGAGAGCTAGAGACCTCATCCACTATATTGTCCAGCCTTTGTCCCAATTGATTACCACTTTTCGAAGCTTATGTTACGTTTTGATAGACAAAAATTTTAATTGCGAAAAAGCACTAAAGAAAGCTTTTTATGAGTTCATCGATTCTTGTGCTTAATAGCAAGGGCATCAATATGTCCTATAATGCCTCAAAAGACAAGAATGTGTTTTTTTTTAATTTATCATACAAAGCGGCATTTTCATATGTAAAGAACTAATATTAAAAGCTAAGGCGTCCTTCCCTGAACAAGAACGCGTTACTCTAATACTTCGGACGCACCTGCGTGTATCGTCCCAAAGTAATGCGTGTCGAAGTTTCGTACGTTTTTTTTTATCGCCATGGACCTAGAAAAAAGGGCGAACGCCGTCTCATAAAACAATTACTGACGCAGCCATAGTAAATCAGTTCACCAACACAAACAAGCCGGCAAGCACACATGCACACCATAGTAAGTCTACCGCCCGCCATACGCTCCAATCCGCGCTCGCGTAGTTACTCACACATAGTTAAACGGCCGCCATTGCGGTGCGTCAGTTGTTTCTTAGCGACACTCTGTCCGCCCTTTTTTCTAGGTCTATGGTTATCGCGATAAAAGCTGTGTTTACATTAGCAGCTCCAATATTTTGCATGAACTATAGTGCAATAATCCAAGATGGCCGAAATCATTTGGAAACATTTAACTATGGACGACGAATTTCTTTACTTCTACAAACAATTACATAATGCATTTATTAAAATCTAAAAAGAAAAAAACCTAAAATCTAAAAAAGGAATACCAGTTACCAGTAGTAGTAAGAAATGTCATCACTTCACTCCACCAGCCACCTGCATGCGTCTGAACTGATCGAAAACAACGGCCGAAATGAACAATGCTAGTCTGACCAGGCAGCGCGATATGTTGATGCGCTAAAACCCTTTGATGTACCGCCACCCGCGCGATAACACCCGCACACGCACACACAGCCCGAATGTTCGCGACGATAGCCGGTAGTAGCCGGTCACCTCTGCGTGTATCGTGTCGCTTTGTGGCGATAGACGCAGATGCGGCCCTAGCATAACCAATATAGTTAAAAAAGCTTACTTCTTCCAACGCAGCCCAATCCCCGGCATTCCCACGCATCCACTGCGGCGCCGCATTTATGTAATGGAAAGATGCTTTCTGTGGTGCGCGAAGTATGAAATCAGCGCGGGCTGCAAGATGGCCGCGGTTTAAAAACTGTAAATTAAATGTGCATTACTTCTAAGATTAAACAAGCAATCCTTTCATCATCATAAGCCGGTAAAAATCCACTTCTGAACATGAGCCCCCAGAGTTGCCATAATGTGGATGTTGCTTGGCAGTTCAGCAGATTGACAACGAGCACACAGTACACCTGATGGAAGGTGGATAGTATGTCCCATAGATCTACGAATCAAAATGCGTATATATATATATATATATATATATATATATATATATATATATGCGTGCGGGAGACATTGAATATTTGTGCTCCTTAGTGGCTGTGAAAATACAAAAATGTGACACTCTAACTACAGAGAAGCAATAACTATATCTGAAAGAGTGTTGCTAACATTGAGATATTTGTCAACAGGAGACTCCTATAGTCTTCAATATCTTTTTAGAGTATCGAAACAATCTATATCAACTATAGTTCCAGAAACGTGTGATGCAATTATAGACGCCCTCAGTGATTACGTTAAGGTAAATAAAAATCATGGTAATTAAGCAATCAAATTATTTATTTATCTGCCTCATATTTAAATAACGGAGCTGTCACCAAAATTAAAGTCTGCTGTTTCTGTAGTAACCACCAAAATTAATTAGCCTTATCAGCTTGTCACCTCTAAGGACTAAGGTGGAATCTAATGAGCCAGATTGGGATGTTGGTCCTTATGGAAAACGCTTTCACAATACAGGCAGGAGATAGTATGAAATAATTGATTTTTATTCAATGTAGATTATTGTATAATACTAACTGAATGTAATATTTTTTATTTACCACTGGTTCGAAAAAAAAACCTTTGTCCTGTGAAAAACCAGCAAGAACCCCAGCAGGACTTCTTTTTTAAACACATTTTAAAATAATAATAAATTTATTATTTTAAAATGTGTTACATTAAAATCTGTAATAATTTATTTATATATTTTTACACAGGGGATCCAGAGGACACAACGATGCAGCGGACGAACTGGCCAGAAGAGGATCGGCTCTGGCCACTATAGGGCCGGAACCAATTATACCAATCCCCTTTGGTAACGTTCGTTCACTGGTACGTAAACACTTCACTAATCAACACGCTCAGCTTTGCAAAAATCTAGTAGACTGTAGACAAGCTAGGGAGGCCCTACCTGAAATAAACAGTCGCTTAACCAAAGTTTTAATTTATTTATTTATTATACTTATTTACACTTTATTGCACCTTAATAAAAAGGATTACAAAGGGCGGACGTAATGCCATTAGGCATTCTCTCCCAGTCAACCCGGGTTTTAATGAGACTGAACAAGCCGCAGATCAGGATAGTAACAAGTGCTATCACAGGACACGGCACCTTTAACAAACATTTATTTACTATAGGTGTTACAGATAGTCCCCTGTGCAAGGCATGTATGGGGGAGGAAGAAACGGCGGCCCACGTGCTACTGAAATGTCCGGAGGTCGCTACGTACAGGGCTAAACATCTCGGCACGCCGGGATCACTCCCCCGAAGTTGCATGCAACATCAAGGGACTGTTGAGCTTCTTCGGGGAGATCTCATGACTCGAATAATCACATTATTCCTGCCCACACGCAAAATACGCGCTTAGACGTGGAGTTTCGGAAAACAGCCCGTCGCAAACTAAACTAATAAATTTATTTTGTACAATTTTTGTATCAATTTTTATAGAACCAGCATGGCGCCGATCACCTCATTCTGAGGGTGTTTTTCATTTATGTATTCATTTATATTATAATAACCGTTTTTGTACAAATTTTCTTTAATAAAACATTTAAACTTGTTTAATTATGTATGGAGTTTACGAATTTACATAATAAAAAACATACCCGTAAATTCCTAAACCCGAAGCAACTTTTTACCTAGCTCGTAAAAAGTATTTTTTTAATGTTGTACGGGCAAGCCATCGTACATTCAACTTTATTTTGTGCTCACATTTGCGACCTACTTTCAGGGCGCATGTGTAATTAGTAATAATTTAATTATATTTAATTCAATTCAGTACGTCAACAACCGTCTTAATAAACACTTACTACTCATAGAAAGATTTGCCACAATAACATTATAACTTTTAATATAATAAACCTCTAAACTTTGGTGATCTTTTCCTTTTGACGTGCTTATCAACTAACTTCAACTCTACTTCTTGAAAGTGCATGGCCCTACAAACCATACATTTTATGGTCCTTCGAGCAGGATATGAATCAGCAAACTATAGATACAAATGTCTGCTGATAATGTGTCCCCGAGTCCAGGAACAAGTTTAGTCATTAAGAGGTTCTGACTAGCAGCTCGAAGTCAGGAGGTAGGCGGTTTTCCACCCCCGCGCCTTGCAAATCAATCAAATACTAATCTCTCTCCGTTGATGTCGGATTACCGTTCCATTGAAACATGAGATGAGACTGAGTGAAAAGAGAGTACACCTAAATTTGAACACACATGAATCTGTCCTGCTTTTTTAAATAAATAGTTAATAGTAACATACCTGCTTCTTTGTAATATATTGTTGATCCATATTGTTCCCGAGGATGCTATTTAATTGCGCCCTTTGATTTTCAACAGCATACACTTTCGACATTTTGATTTTACCGAATACATTGCCTTCTGTAATCAAAATTATACAATACAATAACACTCTTCTCATCCTCCATTGGTGGGCAATCTCATAGATTCTAGATTGGCGTATATCACATGTTCTCAAAATATTTTAATTTTCACAGACATGTCAGTTTAAAACTCATGATGAGTATGGTATTAAACCTACTCATGATCATTTACTTCACCGCTGAACACGTAGTCTGTCAGTTTTTTTTAAAGATGCAATTTAAAAATGTAAGTACCTAAGTATCTACACACTTAGCACCCTACACTAGGACTTTACCTCTGTCCTAGGGGACTACCGTCATACCGTTGGTAGCAAAAACCCGTTAGCTTGTTTAAAACGTCACAAGTTTAAAAGCGTCTTAAGTGACAAGTTTTTAGAAAACGAGCTAATAATAAACATAACGTTTACAAGTGGTAAAATTAAAAATGTTGTACAAGCGGCTTTAGTAAATACAATGAGAATATCATCAATGTAGTCGAAATCAATTAAATACGTATTATTAAGGATAACTCCAAAACTACTTGTCAGACAGTCCGGACCGGGGAATACGAGAAGCATCAGCTTGTAAATTAAAAAAAGAATCATCAAAATCGGTTCACATAGAAAAAGTTCTGATTCTGATACACATAAAATAAAATAAAATACAGTCGAATTGGGAACCTCCTCCTTTTTTGAAGTCGGTTGAAAATCGTTGTCAGTTTTAAGCATTTATACCCACTTCCTTACCAATAAACTGCGGTCTACCACTACTATTCTGCATTAAGTGACTGGCCGGCGAGATATCGTGCTGCACGTAGAGGGTCGAGAGCAGTTCTCGATCGAAACAAGCCTCGTAAAGCGTGTGAAATTTGCGAAGCTGGTAACCAATTCTGTAATGAAAGGTTACTGAATAAGTTTTTAAAACGTAATCGCTCATGAAGGCTCTCTAATGGAAAGCGCTTACGAGGTAAGAAAGCTATCCCAAATTAGGAGGTAACTAAAATAGATCTTGATTAAACTGTGTAAGGAGACTAGGGAACAGAGTATCATAATGTTGCGCGCCATAATTAATAATTGGTACATGGCACTAGCGCCATCTAGTATCGAGTAGCTAGAACTAATCCCTCTAGAGAATTCCGTACTAGAACTTTCTACACCTAGTCAGTCGGGACCGGTAGGTACTCGAACATTCTAGATGTTTCACTAGAAGAGGGCCTATAAGGCCGATAAGGAGCGCGACCGAGTCAGTATTTAATTGGTGATACAAGCGAATACTTCGAAACGAAAATTTTGTTTTATTAGTGTGTTTTAATTTGTATTTGGTGTTCGGTAATTAAAGTGTAAATTTTAGTAATTCAATCGGCAGGTTTTGGCAGGCAGCTCGTGACCATATACAATGTGTCCGGTTTCCGATGTCCGATACTTTAAGGGGTTAAAATACAATTAATTTTATCGACAAATCTGGGATCAATGATGTTTTTTCGCCATCAATAAAAAAATGGCAGCACTTTAAAAAAAATTGTTGGCGAAGCATAGATGCTTGTATTAATTTAACAATATCTACCCAAGTAGAAGACTTTCAAAAACAAAATTGGTCTCAAATGTTAGTTAATAGTGTAGACAATAAATCTAGATTCAAAATATTATTTTTTAATTTTTCAGTATTAGTAAAAAACATTTTTGAAAAAATAAATTAGACAACAAATTGATGTTGTTTTTCAGATTCTTAGCTTTAAAAAAAACCATCGTGTTAACCAATTTTTTTTACTTGTTTTTATTATAATACAGGATATTTGCCATAAATGCCCATTTAAATCTTAACTCTGAGTTAGATAGTTTAGGAGCTATGACAGTGTAAACATACTTACTTGAAAAGCGCGGATACACTAGCAAATGAAATAAAACAAAATAATTTATATCAATTGCATTTAATTTGGCAAAATAATTACAAAAACTGCTCAAAGTGACCTCCTTGTCTCTGCAGACATGCTGTTGCTCTTAGTGCAACGTGTTGCGTAGAGCGCTGGATCATTGCCTTGTCTTCTCGCAATTCGTTTGCTGCTTGAATTATTTTTTCTGCTAACTCCTCTCGTGTATTTGGCACATTTACATACACTCTTCGTTTGAGTGTGCCCCACAAAAAAAAATCGAGAGGTGTTAAATCCGGCGACCGCGGTGGCCAAGCAATTGTTCCTCCGCGTCCGATCCACGACGAATAGTGTGCATTTAAATGATTCCGCACAAGAAGCGCGAAGTGTGCCGGAGCACCATCCAATTGCAGAATCATTCTGGCCCTGTAGGCCAATGGTAACTCCAATAAAGCGTCCAAAAAATTCGTTTCCAGGAAATTTAGGAATCTTGGGCTATTCATTGTCTCCGGTAAAATGATTGGTCCAATTAGAATGTCGTCAATCATTCCGGCCCAAACGTTGACAGAAAATTTATGTTGAAAAGAACTTGGGCGGATCGCATGTGGATTTTCTTGAAGCCACAGGTGTTCGTTACGGTAGTTCGTATACCCTGATCGCGTGAAAGTAGCTTCGTCTGTCCACACAATTCTTTTTAAAAAGTTTGGATCATATCGCGTTTCTCTCAATATCCACGAACAAAATATTGCTCTTCTTACATAATCCGGTTCCAGTATTTCTTGCACCCTTCGAAAATGGTAAGGATGTAATCCTTCTCTTTTTAAAATTTTTCACACCGACCATTTTGATAGACTGAGACGATTAGCTATGCGTCTAATGCTCAGGCTAGGGTCTTGAGTAATCATTTGCAATATTTGATGTTCATCTTGGAGCGACAAAACACGAGTACGTTCGTTACCGAGCCTTCTTATTCCATTTTCCGCAAGTCTCAAATGAATTCTCACGAAAGTGCGAGCATTCGGCGTACGTCTGTTAGGAAATCTGCGTGCATACTCTACAACAGCTCTATTTGCACTCCCGTTACACAATCCATACACGAAATGGATGTCAGCGATATGCTGGCTTGAGTACTCGTTCATTGTAATAAACAAAAAGTAACAGTTCAACAACAAAACAAAAACGTAACAAAGTCTAACAACAAACAATAATTATGTACAGTAAGTAGATTTACTTAAAACCAGGAATGTTATCACAACGCAGAGCGAGGGACGACTGCTCGACGGCACAAGCGCACACTGCACCCTTTTTACCTGGAGACAGCCGTTATTCTGTCTCGCTCGCACTGTTGTGCACAGCGTTTTTTACCTGCTCACACAAAGGATGCTATTGTGCTTGCTTACGATTCCTTGAATTATTGAAGAATTTTATCTTACTCACTGGAATGGGTGTTTAGTTATCTAATATCGGGGTAGAGGCACTTTGAACAGTTACATTCAAATTATCATAGCTCCTAAACTATCTAACTCAGAGTTAAGATTTAAATGTGCATTTATAGCAAATATCCTGTATTATAATAAAAACAAGCAAAAAAAATTGGTTAACACGATGGTTTTTTTTAAAGCTAAGAATCTGAAAAACAACATCAATTTGTTGTCTAATTTATTTTGAATCTAGATTTATTGTCTACACTATTAACTAACATTTGAGACCAATTTTGTTTTTGAAAGTCTTCTACTTGGTGTTAAATTAATACAAGCATCTATGCTTCGCCGACAATTTTTTTTAAAGTGCTGCCATTTTTTTATTGATGGCGAAAAAAAATCATTGATCCCTGATTTGTCGATAAAATTAATTGTATTTTAACCCCTTAAAGTATCGGACATCGGAAACCGGACACCCTGTATATTAGGTTTGGTATTCTGCTCAATGCTATTACTTTTGGTAAATCTCCAGTAAACATTTAAATTTTTTATTAAGCAAAAATTGTTTAGTAAGGGTTATTATACTACTAGTGTTCATGATTTATAATAACCCCTGATAATGAGGTAATCGCTACCATGCTGTTTCTATGGTTCATAAAAGATAGCTTGATCTATGCGACAGCTGTCAGTAAAATCACGCCTATGAAGTCCTGAATTTCTTAGTAGCACAGACAGTAAATGTCATACTTTACGGGCATGCCGACCTAATTAGTGCATGCCCATAAAGTATGACTTTGACAGGTACTGTCGTGTCTGTACTACTAAGAAATTCAGGACTTCATAGGCGTAATTTTTACTGACAGCTGTCGCAGAGATCAAGCTATCTTTTATGAACTATAATATCTTCTTTTTTTATAGGAGAGGGGTCAAACGAGCACACAGCCCACCTGATGGTAAGTGATTACCAGCGCCCATGAACAACTGCAATACCATGGGAATTGCAAATGCCTTGCCAGTCTTTTAAAAAGGAGTAGGCTCTTTTCTTGAAGGTCCCTAAGTCGTATCGGTCCGGAAAAATCTCTGGTGGTAGTCGATTCACAAGGAAGTTGTGCGAGGAAGAATACTTATTTTAAGTTGCACAGTGGCGGACCGCCAGTCATCCAGATGGTATGGATGGTACCGCAAGTTTTGTCGCGATGTGCGATAGTGAAATTGTGCGGCTGGAGTTAGTCCGTGGTAAATGCGATAAAATATGCAAAGAGATGCAATATCTCTTCTCAGTGCCAGTGAGTCTAGCCGATCGGAAAGAGCTCGGTCGCCGACAATTCGAACGGCTCTGCGCTGGATGCGATCAAATGGAGCTTATCTTCAAATGCCAATTGTATAAAATAATATATTGTAAATTGATTTTTTAAAAAAAAAAACAGTCCGACTGGAGTTTTGCTGGTTCTTCCCAAGACAGAGATTTTCTCCGAACCAGTTGCAAAAGTAACAAGTGGCTAAATTAAAAAATTTGTACAACCGACTTCAATATAAATAGAATGAGAACGTCATCAATGTATTCGAAGTCAATTAAATACGCATTATTTAAGGATGATTAAAAACCTGCTTGTCAGACCTTGATCAAATTTATATTGAACCACACGAGAAGCACCAGCTTTCAGATAAAAAAAGGATCATCAAAATCAGTTCACGCAGAAAAGTTCTGCGGTAACACACATTTAAAAAAAAACAGTCGAATTAAATACATCCTTCTTTTTGAAGTCGGTTGAACAATGACAAGTGTTTTTGTAATCGATATTGTAGTAAAATTATTCTATTCTAAAACTTCTAAAAATTAGCTTGTCATTATGGCTACTTGTGCACTAATGGCATAGATCACATTTTAGTGGCTACGCGGGCTCCGCCCACACCCCCGTTCTATTATGTATGTTTTATAGTATTCTATGCACGACCACATTCCGTATGGTTCACTTTACGCAGCGATTGTTCCGGACTGATACGACTTAGAGACCTTTAACAATAGAACCTATTCCTTAGCCTTAAAGTTATAGATAGTAAATAAAGAAGATTCATGAGTGGAAGTAATCAATTACCATCACATAAAACAAATGCTTGGTTTTACAAAATATCGAAGATGACTGTTAGTCTAATAGTAATACGAGCGACTGATGAAGTGGTCCCGGATTCCAATCCCGCGTAGGGCAAAGTTAGTCGGTCATTGGGTTTTCTGCCGAGAAATTCCTCGTATCAGCTCGAATTAAGGAAGTTGGCGGAGTTTCGATCCCATACTTTGAAAGCCGTTGGTCCTGCGCCTAATCTCTAATTATCTTCTCAAAAAAGGAGATTTTATCGATGCGAATGTTTACCCGACTGGCCCAGAAAGCGGGTAATGTTTTCGAGAGTATATATGTGTGTCTATTTCTTTGACGCGCTCTATAGCCTAAAACCAAAGAGTACCTATATTATGTAAACGACGGGATGGATTTTAACATAATATGAGGTGTCGTTAGTTTCGGAGAGTGACAAAGGCTATATAATATTTATATATTTCATTTGCAAATGCAATGAAAAAAGGGGAAATTTTATTTATTTAATTCTACCAATAATTATTTAATATTAATGGGAGCAACTAAGAATATGTGCCTAAATATAATACTATTGATAGATAGATAACTGGTGCCTAAACCAGGTAAAACCTTTATCTGGGTCCTCACCTGAATATCTCCGTGGATAAAGTAGGTAGATGTAGCTACGATAAATGATTTCCTTCGTAATTAAACAATGAAACCAGAAACACTTATATTCTAGTTATCTTTCTAAGAATGTTTATCAATTAGGGTGCTTGTACACGCTAAGAAATTATACCGTGTCTGCAGCAGATAGGACCATTTTATTATGTATACGACTAGAATTTAGTCGGATCTAGCCACGAAAATTTGTCGTGTCTGTTCAGACAAGATAAATAGAGACATGTAAATGATGAAATTGTGTAAAAATAACACGAATTCTTGCATAGACTCGGCGACTTTTCTTAGCGCGTACAAGTGCTCTACTGTTTTGACCGTTTAATTAAAGTAAAAATAAATAAATAATCACTACCTAAATTAACAGTTATATATAACTTTGTTTAATGTACCTGTTTTACAGTAGATGTTTTCTCGGAAACAGTTAAATCGAATTAAATGATTATTTTTTAATAAATAGGGTAATAGCAGTAAAGTCTTTAACGTAACTAAACAATTAGACGTCTTACTACGGGTTCGCGTAGTGTATATATTCTTTGCTACCGGAGCGACCCTGAAAGTTTTTAGAACTGGCTGGCCATTTGTAAACGATATATAATAAAAAAATAAGTTCAAAAAAAATAAATAAAAAAAATCAAGAAAATGGAACTCTTTGCCAATATTATTGTTTGTGTATCTATGTAGTTTGTCATTTGTTTACGGTTTGGCGGCAAATTGAAAATTGTCTGACACGTAAGCATGAATTTGACGCGAGAAAATTTTCGTATAATTATTTTTTATGATTTTCGATGTCATTTAAGCTTGTTACATTGAAGTTAAACTTGCCATATTGCTTAGTATTTTTAACTTAGTAAAAAGTTCAACAAAATTCCAGAAAATATAGGTACAAAATTTGAGCCGTACATACACAGTACGCGAGTAACCAAGGTTCGATCCCCGCCGGCACCAACGAAAATGTTAATTGCAATTTTAGGTGCTGATTTATCACATGCTCGGCGGTGAAGGAAAACATCGTGAGGAAACCTGCATGTCTGAGAAATAAGAAAAAAATTTCGAAGACATGTGAAGTTCGCCAACACGCATTGCTAAACTGAAATGAATGAAGCATTTCCACAAATGTATTATGTAATAGCTTCTAAAGTTGAGGCCCTAATACTTCGATACGCTATATCTTATAACACCGAATTCTGAAGTTGTTATTCGCAAACAATTTTATTCCTTCTAGGTTTTTTTGGAAAATCGGTGGTTATCTTTATTTTTAAATATTTCTATAGGATTTTATAGCAAGAGTATACAAGTTTAGAATACTTAAATAACACGCACTGATAAATAATGAACTGTGATCTTAGAGTATAGGTACATAAGCAAACTATGTATACTCTAAAACAAATACTATGTAGGTAATGGTCCTAATGAGAATACTATAATAGGTCATAGTCAGATACTTTTATTATGTATACTATAAATAAAAGTCTTTGGTCATCGTTATGAAACTATAATATAGTCATCGGTCCCTATTACGTAAGCATTTTTTTTTTAGATTCAGACTTCCGGATGCAGGTGAGTATTATAAAATTCCATTACATATAATTAAGGTCAAGCAATTAAAGGCGAGTTAAGAACTATGTAGGTAGCTTACCTATAAAGTTTGTGTCGTCCGGAACAGTATTCTGACGTCTCCTCAGCCGTGAACCAAGGTAATGAGCTACATTTTATGTCCTTAAACTGGCCCACCCACTGGCCAGCCCGAAACGTTTTATTCGAGACGCATTGCACGTCCTATAACACAAAATTGAAAGTGTCACATAGAAATGATATCCTTAGAAATGTTATCTCTGTATCTGTAATCTTATATTATATTTGATACTAGTGACTTGTCCCGGCTTCGCCTAGATAGGATCTATTAATATGGCGTTATTATATTTAGGAGTTAAGATACCATTCTAAATACCTACCACATCAATAACCATTAATTTAATCAATATTTAGTTTTTTCAAAAAAACCTTAATTTTTTTGGATCAAATTTAGCCTAGATCCTTCTTGGTATTGCTCAGTATCTGTTCTTAAATTACGAGTATCATCACAATCGGTTGAACCATTCCGAATGTTAGAACCGACAGAAAGACAGACGGATTTAAATATGGTCATTTATGTCTTAACAGCGTGCAAGCAACTAAGCTTAATAAAAATTATTTCGATATAGACAGACACATTAATTTTATTTATAAGTATGGGCTATAAAATATAGATTTAGGTCCACCACATACATACGGAATTCTGTTTCGAGATTCCGTTTCGGAATTCCGAAACGGAACAAACTGGTCCGCCACACATACGGAATCCCGTTTCTTAGATTCTGCAAAATCCCATTCTACAATAAACTTTAAAAAATCTAGAGACACCCAATCAGTAACCGTAACATTAGCGGCTTTTAAGTGTCTTCGCAGTCTTGGTATCTCCAAAAGTGATTCGGTTTCTGAGACCTCATCATAAAAATCAGTAAATTTAGATGTAGCTAATTTCAGTTCTTCAGTATTCGCCAAAAGCAAAACATTAGTTTGTGCGATCTCGAACAATGAAGCTATATCTTGAAGAGACTTCGAATTATACATAGAGCTGAGCTAGTGCTAATGGAGGAATCCCCGAAAAAGAAATTTTTGTGCTAGCGATTTATTTATTTTTTGTTTGTACATTGTTCTTAAAGTTGAGAGACCGGGTGGGTGTCACCCCAAAAAAGGTGACACCCGGTGCGGCCCACCCCCGCACCCTCCCCTTTGCTACGCCACTGCCAACCGCAAGTCTTCCATATATTTTGTATGAGTCGCAACACACATTCGAAAATTCCGTACGGAACGCGTGGTGTGCCTGTGTGGTGTGGGTCGCACGACCGAAGCGAATAGAGGAGATCATACATAGAGGATTATATTTTTTACCATGAAGAACAAACCTATTAATTTTATATTACATAGTTTTCCAAAAACTGATTAAGGACTCAAGACAAAAATACTAATTGTGCAAGATAGAACCAGCTCAGTTCAGAGGAACTGCAGAAGTTCTTTATGTGTCATAAGCACATTATTTTTGATAAGGAGCTACATACACCTGAACTAATATTAAAAATATAGTAGAGAAAGTGGTAATAAAAACAAGATTAATTCCTGTGGCTCTGGTATCAGCTATCAGATCAGGAAACGTCATTCCATTCAGCCGTAAATATGTAAGTTGAATAATAAGTTGAGTATCTTCCATACTCAAATAAAACAAATATTAGAAGGAAAATATTGGTAAGGTAATTGAATGAAATTATAAGTTATTAATAAAGTGCAAATAACATAATTTTGATTGCTTATTAATCAAATATTTGTTTTCATTTCTGGTGACAGATTACACAATCATATGAACTTGCTAAAGGATTTACATCATATTTACATATAACAGACCTATCTGAGAAATAATTTACGTGAAAAAAGGAATAGAAAAAATATTTAAATGTGATTACATTTAGATGTATATTTATGAGACTGTAAACATGCAGAAAATTATATAAATGATAATATAAATGATGGCGATATGTTTTCTTTTTAACTAGATACAGCAACAATGCAATCGCATTATCGTCGTCCATATTCGCTGACAGAATATCCATACTCAATGGCTGGCATCTCTCAACTGAGCCTTGTTATTCCGAACGGAAAAAAACGTATGTGTGTGATGTATGTACGGAACCCCGAGTCGGAATTCCGAAACGGAATCGCGAACCGGAACGTGGGAGCTCAGGAGTGCACATAAAATTTCATATAACAACCGGAGTTCGATCCTCGCTGGCATTAATAAAATCCTTCTTCTTCCTATATCAGACCATTTCCGCCAAAATCATCACACTCAGCAGGCAGAGTGACCATCTCAGTACCAAATGTTCCGTACCTTGGACACTGCCGTCGCTGTCTAGCTTTTTTATGTCTGGTGTAAACGAGATGATACACCGCCATCTATCGGAAGTTAAAGATCTTATTCCTTTTACATAGTACTATTTGCGTCTTACGACACCCACACAGGCTCAAATGCAACTTAAAACAGTGCTACTTATTAAGAAATTCACATCAGTTTTAAGTGCTCGGCGGTGAAAAAAAAACCTGATTAAAACCTGCTTGTCTGAGACATAAAATTATTTCTAGGTTTTTTTTTTATAGAATAAGGGTGACAAACGAGCACATAGTCAACCTGATGATAAGTGGATGCTGTGGCCCATAGACATCCACATTTATACTCGATTAAGAATCAAAATGCAGATGCGTTGTCACCCTTGAGGGCTGAAATGGAATGCCTAATCTAATTTCCAGTAAAAAGGGTCTCCGGTTCTCTACGCTCACTTTTCGAAATACAGCAGCATTAAGCTGC